GAAGTCAAATACAGCTCTCGGATCTATATAATAAATATGTAGCTGAAATTAGCTTAGCTTAGCATTAAGACTGGATAGAGAGGGAAACATAATTAATGAGCTTTAAAGGTGCAAAGGAGATTTTGTTTTTACGTTTGGATAGGGCCAGGCTAGCGGATTCCTCTTGTTTCAACTTATGTCAGACTAATGCATTAATGAATATCAGTGTTTGTTGTTAGATCCCAATTTATAAGCACAACAGTGGTAATTGCCCAAATGAAAATATTTGGAAGTCACCATCGTGCCAGTAAGTGGCTTAAAACCAAGGAGGCTTCTTCACACGTGTTGGTTTTACAGTGGACAGTCCTGGGCTCTTGTGGACTTGTATTCAGCAAAGTAAAGTGTGAATGGATAAGGGAAAATACTGAGTGACCACAATAATCAGGAAAGGGGAGGCATCCATGATGTCAACCAACTTGTAAAAGCCACAAACAAACAAAATGCCACAAGGCCTGTTGTCCCTGTTTTGAAACTTTAGTGGGGACTAAACATCTGTCAGAAACTGCAGGTCTGTGGGGAAAAGGAAATCTACCAGATTTGCTACACAGCCTCCCCCCAGGCCTGGGGCATGTCAGAATAATCCCACAAGCTGCACGTGGAACCTGTTCTACAGCTGGTGCTACTGCTTAAGCGCATATCTGTGAAACTTTAAAAACTGCAATCAGAAGCTTAAATTGTCTAAAAAAAACAGCAATAACTATTGCTTTGTGCTTTTCGGTATTCAGTGTGGAGATGATGTGAGACTTGTGGAGACGATGAAAGTAATAACTGCCCTTGATTAGCTAAGAGTAGCTATGGCTCACACTGAGATTGAAGACAAATTATACTAAAAAAGGATGATGCTTTAAATGAAGACATGCCACATGCCGTCTGTGGTGATCTTGATCAAGAACTGTGTGGAGTGTGACGTTGACAGTTATGTACCATCTGTCTGCTGCAGTGCAGTTGGGCAGTCATTATCGTCTGCAGTTTTGAGTGTTAACTTCAGGGTTCACAGTACATGAGTAGAAGTCACACAAAACACAATGGGCTACTGACCGACCGCTGTGTAGGAAAAGGAGGGAGTTGGTGCTCGTTTTCAGACAGTCTCGTCAGGAGACATTGATATATTTGTTAATAGACATTAACCTGGATTGCTCATATAGGCTACTGAGGCAAACAGCTTTAGAAGGTGACATGAGAAGTGTCACAGATTGTTGTGTAAGGAATGAAAACAAAGCGCTAGACAGAGATGTGCAACTAGCCAGTCAAGGTGTGAAGTAGAGGTAAATGTCAGATCCTTGGCTTGGAAAATGACAAAATAAAACATTCACAACATCACACCAGTAGGGGCAAATGGGCTTACATTTTGAGTTTCTATTTTCTTTTCAAGATCAGCAAAAAACATGGGGGCTAACATCTTGTAAGCACACAGAAGGTCAAGTCCCCACAGTGTGAGTGTGTAAACAGGTTTCAGTCTCCACAATGCGAGTAATACTGGATGCATGCACAATCACCCACACACACAAGGACACATATTATGCAAAATTCACTTTTAGGTCTCCGGTGTGTGTAGAGACACACAAAACGGGAGAAATGCTTTTTCCACATTTGTAAAAACCCCTGCTCAAAAAGAGTATTCAGATGTGTCTCTCTTTATGATAAACATTTTCTAGTGACAGCATTAAATGACAGCATAAACCTGAAAATGAGCATAATTTGTGACCTTTAATCTATGAAATGTCTAAAGTTGTTAAATAAATATAGTGAGAGAGTAAAAAGTACAAGATTTCCCTTTGTAATGTAGTACAGTGGAGAAGTAAACTAGATTAACATTTACAGGACGAGATTTTAAGATTTTTAGTAAGTACAGTACTTGAGGTAAAGGTTCTTCACTTTCCACCACTGCATGCTGTCCTGTTTGTGTTACAGATTATTTCCATGACCAACACAGTGAGTTTCATTAATTAAATTTAAATTCCTGTCATACAGTCAATGTGGGCACTGGTCCACACACATGAGCTCAAACTGCTCACCGACCTACACTATCCCTCCATCTCACACACAAACATCTCCTCTCCCCGCTCTCTCTCTTTCTCTGCCTGTCTTTTTATCTGCCACCAACCGACCTTACCCTCTTCCTTCTCCGACCTCATGTCCTCCTCGGCACAGGCTCCGCTTGGCTCCACTGTCAACTGTGGTGTGAGCTCTCATAGCAGGTGAAAAAAAAAGAGAAAACACGCACACACTCGTATACGTAGAGGCCAGTGCACACACCATTCAAACTGAAAACACAATGCAGACAGCCACTCCCAACCCTTCTCGCTGAGGTTCCACCCAGCCAGGTAACCAGGAAGTCATCCCCTGAGAGATACTCAGCTGCATTTCCTGCTCCATTTCTTTCTTTCTTTCCTAAGAAAGTGTCTCTTTTTCTCTCCCACTTTCTATGTACCTGTTTAGTGGCACGCCCAGAGGCAGCTAGGACAACTTTCACCCCACACCCACTCTCGCTTTTCATCTTTCTTTCTCCATAGTTCACAAGTGACGGGGAGGGGGAAGGGAATACAAACTGCAGAATTAAGCCTCAGGTAATGAACCAGGTGAGTCAGTGGAGTTCTCACTCCACCTAATGGCTGAGAGCTAGAACAGGACTGTGTGTGTAATTACACTCACCAACGGAACAGAGAACGATACACTCCTCTGTATGAAACCAACACACCCTCTGAGCAAAAAACACCTTTGTAGCATACATGTATTTACATAACTCACCTCCTGAACATCAACGTGTGCTCTGGCTAGAGGAGATAGGAATGTAAACTCTGAATAAAAATGATGTGAGTGTAAACTTCCCTATAAACACCTTAGAAAATGAATTACTGCAGCAGCGAAGTGATATGAAGTTCGTGTTTCTGACCAAACTGCCTTAGCTCTACACACTCAGACTGGATTATTAATCTGAGCTTTGCCATGCTATATTTAACTCTCCAGGGGATATTTCCATCACCTGCTCTCCTGGGACAGTGCTGACTTTGTACAGAACACATCATGTTAGATGGGAACCTTCACATAAGTGGACACAGTTGCAAAATAAATCAGTTTGAGGCTGGTACATCTTGCCTCTCAGGGCACTTTAGGCCTGAAATCCAAAGGCAGATGCAGGCAGGTAGATTCAGCCTGCATGCCTGTCTGGCTGTAAAATTCTAATGATAATTTTAGTATATGAGCGCTTAGCATACTGTAAGCATATGTGTGCATTGGTGTGCAAGTGAAACTTGAGTTAAACCTTTTGCATTCAATAATGTGACAGCAGTTCAGAGCAGGCATGTCATTTGTCCTGCCTGTCAGAGGTTGGCATTCAGTGTTTTAGCTCTGTCCAAAGATCAAATGTGCTCTAACCAGATACTTGTCACAGGAGGCAATGAAAGTGTCAATCACATGCAAGCACCTCAAGGGTTCCTGCCAGGCTCATTCTCCCTGACTGATCAGAGCTGAAACAAAAGATTGCAACAAAACTCTTCTATAGTTAATACTAATTATACCTCATTAGAAGGTATATTGCAAGTGCATGTTTCTCTGCACTGCCCAGTGCCCATAAGATTTCATAGAGCCACAATATTAAAACTTTTACACAGGCTAATTACATAAATTCTAGTTAAAATTCAAATTTGTATGACTCAAGATACTTTTTTATTTGTATGTAGAACTACAAAATTACACTACAGCAGATTTTTTTGACCAAATGTAGCACTTAATAATTCCAAGGTCGTGCTGTAGCCTGCCTCTCAGCTACCCTCAGTCATATTCACAGCATTGCCTTTATCATGACGGCTTCTCGGTGTGAAATTTTCCAGCCCTCAGTGTCCTTATTCTTCAGCTTAACTTTCTGTATCACTATGTCATTCATTTGCGTTGCTCACATTAAAGCAACAAGAAATCTTAAAAGCCTTTTTTTCTTTACCTTTCCCTCTCCCCCACTGTATTGCTCTCCCTTCTCTCAGCTGCACACGGTTGACCTGTCAGTCTGCATTATCAGTGCTGGGGGATGTTGATAGAGAGCCGGGACGGAGCGGCATTAAAATATTAGCTAGCCTTGAGAAAGAAGAAGAGGTGGAAAAAACAGAGGAGGAGGGAGACTGAAAGCAATGATGGGCACAGGGAAAAGACGGAGAATGACTGACGGAGGTCACCACTGTCACTGGTCATTGTTGATGGAAATTACATGAGGCTTGTCTAATAGCCACTGAACGTGCTCTGCCAGCATCAAGAGGAGAGACTGGATGAAAAGAATTACAATTGCGCTGCAGGCTTTCTGGTTTGGTATGAGAATGACAAAGAATAATAGCAGTCAGTATGATAGGACAAAGAAATGGACACAAAGCTCATAGATTAGGCAACAATACGCATGCGATCAATAGACTTTATGATCAATATCTTTTGTGGTGCATATTATTAAAGGCTGATTACCACACACAAGAGATTGAGAGAGCCTATTATCCTGAGCCATACAGGCCTCTCTATAAAACATTTCATTTCTCAGACTGATGACAGTGATTGGAGAAAATAAGTAGCCTTGCTGCAGTGCAATAATTGCACATTACAACGCAACCCTAGTGCAATAAATTTCAATAAAGCTCCATTCAGATTAAAGCCATTTGCAAAGCCACATGCTTTTCTTTGGCAAGAAGTCAATCAAGTCTCACAGTCTTATGCCAGTGCCTATGTGCACTTTGGATCAAGTGACAAAACATGTGGTTTAGTTGCAATCATTCACAGCCAGCAGTGAACGGTAAGGCCCTCATGGTCAGGTATCAAGAGCTGTTATTTGATTGTTCTCACACTCTTGGCCTGAACAGGCCTTTGCTCCGGTGTTAATCTCCCAGTCAAGCTGACAGCTCTGTGTCTTTTAACTGCCAGGATAAATCACCATGCACTCTTCCTGCTGTCACCAAGGCAACAGCTTGGATTTTAGAGCAATATGGTACCTTTGCCTAGTGAGCAGTCAGGAGTGCCAAAGTCCATCAGGCTGGATATCTCAGTCGGGTAGCACATGTCTGTCACCACTGTCTTCTGTCTGCGATGCACTGATGTATCTACAGGAGAAAAAAAATTAACAATGAAAGTCATTTCACAGAGTCAGACGAGTCTGATGTTTATACTGTCATCAGAACGTCCCATCCATATTCATACAGCCATGTCATTCAAATACGTTATATTCTTAATAATAGCGTGCGAGTGCATAAGTGGAGTGTGTGAACAACCGTGCAACTATAGCTGGCTTGGCAAATCAGATGATTCATTCTGACATGATGTCAATTCAGCACACGCTCCTGAGCCTGCAAACACATTGCAAATATGAATCTCTAAAACCAACCACTGCAGTTGTGAGCAGCATTTCAAAGCAATAATAACACACTAACTAAAACAGTAAACATGCTTGCTCGTTTCATTATTTGATAATGCCTGGCTGATGTTTTACTCTTTTTTCCCCTTTAGATTGGCAGATTTAAAAAAAAAATCTTTCATCCCTATTCTTCATCTCTTTTGTCCTCAAATAAAATCCAGCCCTTGATTCCACAGTGTCCCGCTAACCCATTTCTGTGCTCTATATATTGAGCTAATGTCACTAATCAACAACGTCTGTGAGCTGCAGTGACTGAGGCCTGTCTACTCATCATTTCTTCTCCTTTGTTATTTCTTCCTGCCCACTGCCTTCCTCCACCCTAATATGTAAATGTTTCTCATCCAAGTGTAAAGCATAAGAGAAAGCAATCGCTGTACCAGGGAGTGGTTTTGCAGAGCAGCCAAAGTAAATCTGCTGATCTTATACCTGTGCTTCTGATGTCAGATTTCATGCTAGATAAAGGTGTGACAGCATGTTTTCTAGTGTAACCATAAACCTCATCCATGGGTCCAGCAATAAGCAATAGCCCTGCTGTGCCCTCTCAGACGTACCATCTACAAAACCAGTAATGACCTTACTTTGCCAAGGCTCCACCTCTTGGCAGTTTCAAATTCATGTCTATATGATATTTATCTAGACCACTAGTCTTCCCCTTCTCTATTCTGTTTAGGTGTTGTTAAGCTGACCTTTTCTTCAGTCTTTAATATGGAGCAGGCTGCCTCATGCTTGGCCATGGCCTCTTTCCTTAGCACCAACAATAATGAAAAAGAGAGAAACAGAGAGATTGAAACTGCTGGGAATGGGACATATTCAAAGAGAATCTATTCCAACGCTTACTGTACTAGCTGAAGGTGTCTGTTCTTTGTACTCTTAAACATAAAGATGTCAAGAGAAAAACTGACAGCAATAACAGCCACTTCCTCAATTTGGAGAGCTGGCATCTAAACTGAAGTGAGCTGCATTTTAATTATTACATGGTATTTTGGATATGTTGGCATTCTGTCACTATGTCCCTGTCAGTGTTGTAAAGTATGTGTGCACTGGGAATAATGGGTACATCCTCAGGAGTGAATAAAAAATCTGGCACCTCATCTCTGCCTGGTCGAACATGTGGTGTGAGAGGTCAGAGGTTATGGAAATGCTGAGGCAGAGCTGTGCTGGGTTATCTGTAACCATACTGACCAGGCCAGGCAGCTGGCTAATGACTGTGATCCATCCATCCATTCATTATCTATACCACTTATTCCTAAATAGGGCTGCGGGGACTCTGGAGCCAATCCCTGCTGACATTGGGTGAGAGGCAGGGTACACCCTGGACAGGTCACCAGTCTATCACAGAGCCAATATATAGTAAACCACCTACATCCACACTCACTCCTACAGGCATATTAGAACCATAATGACTGATTTAAATATTTAAAGAGGCTGCTCACTCACACAGGTTGTTTCTTTGTTTGGTTGATTAAACCTCTGTTCAGGGTGAAACACTAAGGTACATGTGGTCACCAGACTGCACAAGCCAACAAGAATAAACTTTTTCACAAAAGATATCTTGACTTGTCATAAAAGAAAAAGCACAGGTGCTACTAATAACACTGGCAGTGACTCTATCTTATTTAAGTATCCCAGTAGGCCATGGCAGTGTAACAGCGAAACAGCACGCATAATGTCAGGACCCTGAAGCTGAAGTAGAGTTCAACCATCACGAGTTATATTGTTTGCACATGTAATTCTTTACTGTAACATGTTAAAATACAGATGCACTTTTAACATACTTGTTCTCAGCAGTTGTAGCCAGTGTCAGAGAATGACAGCACCACACTGTGCAAATGTGGTTTTACAAAACATTTGCCTTGTGCTTTGCAAATAGGTTC